ACCAAAACACATGAAGTAGCAGAAAATGTTAAAGGGATCGAATTTTAGAGCAAGAATATGAAAACATCAAAGTAGTAAGTTGAGAGTATTAACTGAGACCTTTGGTTAATCAAATTCAATGAGTTTGAATAAGTTTTAGGGAACAATAGTTGTCTATTTTCCATATATGATAAAAGCGTTCTCATAATCTACTCTTCATTTACAAATTTAAACGCAACTTTTTCCATATTCGTAATGTCAACGAGAATGAGTGATGACTGGAATCCACATGGAACATGCAAGCGAATTCAAGCTTTGTGTTTCAGCCTCTACAATGAAGCTCCCACACAATGTAGAGCTTTTCTGCTACAAGCTGAAACAATCGTCACAGAGGTCTGACAAAATATCTCAGAAGCATAACACGTAGATTAACCAATGGTTTGGATACTGTGGAAAGGACACTTCTCGAGTCATGAGACACCTTTAGCCAAAGTGGGATAGTTCTAGGAAGAGTGTCCTCACTCGAGAGTGATAAGATGTGACGTGATGCCTCCCTCAGTGGTTTTAGTAAGAGGGATTTAGGTTGAATTCAGGTGGTAATGAAACAGAGGATAATGAATGAGGAAAGTAAATAATGAATGATACGTATGAGGAGGGTCAGTGAAATTCGGTCACTTGTCATACCTCAGACGGAGTCAAAATGGCTTAATCTAAAAAATTCATCTAAAAGATATTGAAATACTTCGTTAGTTCGTTCGCTAAGCATGTAAATAGAAAAAAACGATTTTTCGGTCAACACTTTTCTAAAGAAAGCGCAGAAATGCAATTCGTTACCATAAGTTTGCACTTATGGCGAAAAATTGGTGGATTTAATGTTGAAATGAAGTTTAGTCCAAACAAATGAAAGAATGAAAGTGTTCCCTAAGGCAAACGTGACTCTTATCTACAATCACAGATGTAGGGTGTGGCGACAAGATTGCGTAGTACTTTAAACCAATCTCTCGTTACATAATAGGTGCACCTTGATTTGAGCACACTATATAAGTGGGAGGATTTCGAGTAGCTAGAATATAACCACAGTTACAGTTAAGCCCAAACTGCTCATTCGAAGACTGATGGCTATTCGGCATCTTGTTCTGATTATCCTTGCTGCACTTAGCGTTAAAGCTGATGTACATGATGACTTTCCTCAATGGGACCGTATTCACTGGCTTGTCCCCAGTACTGAAACAATTACTCTGAAATGCAAACATCCATCTTATTATCCCTTTAATGATATCGCCACTAACGGGAAAAAGGTTATGTGGATTCTACCAAAGGAAACATCTTACAGACATTTAGCAAATCAAACTTCTGAAGAAGGGTTTATGGTGGGAGGATCCGACCAAGAATTCTCTCTTATAATAAAGAAAAACGAAATGAATGTTCCTGAAGCTTCTAATGGAATGTATGTATGCGCCGCTCTCGCTAAAGTTGATCCTAATAATACAACCAGCAAAATCTACTCATGGTATTATCTTCGATGGGGTGTGGGTCTCTACATGAATGTGCCGGCTATGAACTCTGGATCAATAGGAGAAAAGTACTACTGGTGCTTCACATACGCCTGGGTTTCCTGTTTGGTTGCTATTGTCATTATCATCCTATTCGCGGTCACTGTTCACTTCCGTTACAAGGGCGGCCCAGTTGAGGAATCAGATAACGAATCTGTTGGACTCGATGGCTTATCTATTGATGGAAGGAAAGAAAAGAGGAGGCCTTCCGTAACTTCATCAAGTTCGATCAAGAGAGGGAAGAGTTATGAAGATACCTATTCCAAGTTCTAAACTAAATGATGTTCTCAAATATTTTTTATCTTCATTCGTGCCATTCACTTCCCTGCCCTGTAATTCGAATTTCATTCATTTGATTGTACTTGTACAGTATCTCATTACTTGATTAATCGAGCATACTTTTGCTATGAACTCGACTCCGTTTTAATACAGTTTTATTCCTTAATACTAAATAATCCTCGAAGGAACTTGAAATTTAAATGCTTTTTAACTTAAAAGGCACTGTTTTGTGTATTTCAAACCGATAGAAACATCTTGTTAATTAAAAAGAGCATTCATCAGGGATTTCCCATTTTTGCATATTCAAGTATTGCGATCTATTTTAAAATAAGTTGCTCCTAATTCTTACAAGAGCCAAGGAAATATTTCCACTCCCTCCCCAATCGTGATGATCTTTAGTAATCTTTAGAAAGGAAAAGTACTTAAACGCGAAATATTATTTATTTATTTATTAACTTATTTATTTATTTCAAATGGCAGGCGTTTTGATAGCTATCATTAGCCATTTAGCTGACTTCAGGCTTCACAGAGGGAGGGTTCATCAAAGTAGAAGAAAGTCGAGGGGTGGGGTACAGAAGAGCAATTCACAGATGTAAAAGAGGCAGGCAGACACAAAGGTAGAGAAAAAGGTAAGATGTGTAGGGCAAGAAGTAGGGTCATGGTATTTCGAAATCAGAAGTCAACTGCCGGTTAATAGACTTTTTTGCCGTATGAGTAATTCATGTGTACAAGAAGCGCCCTAAAACCAGACGATGAGATAGAGAGGGATGTATTGAGGCAAAGGAATTTCCACCCTTCTACTAACTGACTGTGAATCATGGCATTTATAAGAATTCCAATCCATACCACTGAATTGACATTTTCAAACTTGTCACAGTTAGAAGTCAGTAGAGGAAATGAAACTTAAAATTACAGCCGGGCGGGGAAAAAGCTTTCACGCTTACAGTAGTCATAATAACAGTGAAGGATCACAGTGGGGCACGTCTACACGCAAAGTGAACTATTGGAGAAGCCAACATCGAAGCCTA